ACTAATTTCTTTAAAATTGTGTGTCACACATCAATTTTCAATTTAAAAAGATATCTATACCTCTCAGCAGGGCATACCTGTCAGCCACACGGTACAGCCTCGGAACCCGGCCCTGGTTCCAACCACCTGCCCTCTCTTATTCCGGCTCACGTGATGGGCCTGATAGATCACATTGGTGGATTTCTGCTGGCTCTCCTACAAAACAAGATCAAGCGCAGTATGTCATAAGACAATAAATATAATATGTATACATATAATAAAATAACAGGTTGCATTAATAGTCTTCCCTAACTGAAACTCTTCTTTTATGATTGACATATGGAGAAACATTAATTAATTCTACTAATTTAGATACAGACAGCCTTTAGAATACCCATCGTGGCTCTTTGAAAGTATAATTTGAATGAGAGAATTATTGATACTGAAAAAGTTCTGGTTCCGTGACATTTTAAAATGTGCGCCGTTGTTTTTTATAAATACGCGTTCTCCCCAAACCCTATGGGCATGAACCGAAAATGACCCAAATACTCCAGTGCTGAGGAAATATGAAGATGAGGCTGGTTGAGCCCCACTCTAAAGAGCCAGGGAGAGGTCCAGAGCATGGAGTAAAGGGTTAAAGTCAGTAATAGCCCTCTCACTCCCACCCAGACATCAGGGACCTAAGAGTTTAGCCCCTGACCGGAAACGTGGTGCAAAGGGCAACTTTTTCACAAGCGTTAAACCTTGCTTCCACTTTCCCAAGAGTCAGTGTATGAATTTTTTAATCTTTAAAAAAGCCCTGCAGAAATGGACATGTACCAGTTATTTGCCTTGGAAGTTAACTCAAATTTCAGATGTCTTTATTTTGGCTATAATAAAATCTGCCCTGTGATGGCACAGGTGATTTAATCCTGATCCTAAATTCTGACCGGAAGGTACATACATGTCTGATGAATAAAAAAGGTAAAATGAGCCAATCAATAGTTCTTGGTAGACTTCCTTTTAATCACATGTATTCCAAGGGGGTGGGGCAGAGGGAACCCATAATGGTGTTTAAATAAGAAGGCTGGGAACTGCCCATATATGTTTTGGTGTGGTAACTGAACTTCTAACAACAGATGTAGTCCAACTTGCTGAACTGTAAAAATCTATGGAGCCTTTTAAGCTCCACACATGTACACCCACCAGAGCTAGGAAAGCACTGATATTCTTTGAGCAAGACCCAGAGAATCTTAGAAAACTCTAGGCAACTTTTATATTTTGGAGCAAATTAAATCACCTGTTTATGCATCCTCCTTTGGGGGAAAAGGATACAAGTAGAGCTGTTTGGGGGCTTACATGAGATAATAGATGTGAACGTCCTCTATAAACAGCAACGTTCTCTACAAATGTGGATGCTGACAATGATTCCTCAGTGTATACCCCAATAGGAAAGGCTGGAGCCAGCTGGATTAGACCAGGAAATGGCTTCAAGACCAAGGAGGAAGGAGCCTGCAGCTGGCCCTTGGGTGCTCTGAAAGGCAGTGCACATCAGTGGGGACAGGCCTGCTAGTGAGCCATCGACCCAAGCAAAGGGGCCAGTCAGGCAGGCAGTGGGCAGTGTCAGAGGGAACGAAGAGGGACATGTTGAAAGCTGGGATCAGCTGGGTTATCTAAAACTCTCCAAAGCCAAAGCTAGATGCTCTGGTCACCCATCAAGCAACCCTGGTGACAACCCGAGACTTGGAAGAGGTTGGGATATGGTCTCAGAAAGCAGCAAGTTAGCAGTGGTGGCTTCCACTAGTGAGTTCATAAACGGGGACAAATTTGGCTAGTCTGATGGTTTTTCCCCTGGTGAACAAATTTCCTGACGTATCTTGAGTCTTTTGTGCCAAGTGTACTTTATAGCTCAAGGGTAACAATTTCTTTTTCTCTATTTCCTTGTTAATCACTGCCATTAAATTCAAGAACAATGAGTCTGGATATCAGGCCCCAAATCGGTTTATCTGTCCATTCATGGATTCTTTCAGTAGACATTTATGTTTATGTAAATGAGCTCTGACAAGAAAAATATTCTGAGATGTCCTAAATTAAATAACAGCAGGCTAGAGGGTGGGAGGAAGCTGGTAAGAGGTTAATCAGTTAAGAACAACAGGACAAAACTAACAAAAGACTTCTCACGTTCCAAATATATGTTGAAACTTTAAGTCAACTTCCAGGTGACTATTAAAAAAAAAAAAAAAAGGCAACCACCAGGTGCCACCACATTCTAATTATGCATGCACTTTCCAGACTATTGACCACGACCAATCCAGAAGTAGGAAATATTTCTTCCTTATGGGCTATGCATCTATCCTAGAACTGTCCCACTTCACCTTTTCCCGCCTCCCTTATCTATAGCCAAAGAAAATTCGTTCAAAACAAGCTACATTTTTCTTCCCCAAACCCACTGTATAAAAGAGCCCTGTCAATCCCAGGATGGCAGACATGTCGGCCTTCTTCATCTAGCCCAGCAGCTGGTGATTTAGAATGTTATGTCCCAGGA